GACATTTTGGCTCTCTCTCATTTGTATACACAGAAGTCAATATAAAATAACAATTGAAAACAAAGCATTTTAAAGCAAAATGTGGCAATTCAGTAGCCAATGTCTACACAACCCTCTATGTGCTGATGGTGAGGCAGGTGACTGGGGAAAGTAAACCTTACCAGCTGTGCCACACTGAAGTGAATTGTCTTTCAAACTTCAAACACCTGTCTTGCTGAAGCTGTAAACAACCAGATGCTCATTCCTGTAATGTTATCAACAGTGACTTCAGTGAGCAAGGCTCTTGGCTTAGAAAAGGAAATGGTGGGGATAGGGAAGGAGATTTACAAAGACTGGGTGTGTCTCAACAAGTGTGAATTTAACAATGCTTCTCATCAGGCAAATTAAACATCTTACAATACTCCCTTTAGGTGTTCTGTTACTAGGTGGAACACATTTAGCAACAAGTTTATTAACTGAGGATCAGGTTCCTCTGTGTTTCCTTCCTGCTCATTCCTTTTCCACTCGCACTTACATACGCAGCATGCAGCTGCAGTGTACAGTCAAGAATAAGGGGTTTAAAATATAAGTGCTAGGAATAGAAGTTCCACTCTGAATCATTTCCAGCCCTAACACTTCTGAGTCTACAATAATTTAGTTAGAGCTGCAGGAGCACTAATCATACTGAATTTATGTGTTGTTCTTTACGTGAAACTGCTTCAATTTAAAGGCTGAGGGCATGACTGCTATTCACTTTCCACCTACACCTATACACCCCCACACACTCTGTTCCATTTACAGGTTAATTTCCCAAAGTACCTTGGAGCACACATTAGCAGCCCTTAAAATGTGTCTACATTACTGAGGTGCATGGTGGGATTAATGTTCAAATTCTGGAGTAATTTGAAGAAGGTGGTCAAGAAATTAAGCCCCCTTTCTCAAAACAGTTTCTTTTAAAACTGGTATTATATTAGCTTTTGCACAGATGTCAGATTTAATGTGCAGTCTATATGTGTGTCTTGACATATGCGTGCTTATATATACACATACTAAATAATCTGCATTGTGTCTGGTACTATCGTGTTCTAGTGGAAGTAAAAGTGAAAGGGAGGTAGAGGGGGAAGAGAGCAACAATTAAAACTTGGTTCTCTTGTTTGTGAGTAAGATGCACATCTAACTCACAAACCAGAGGTTTTAACTGGAAGCTTAAAAAACAGAGTGCTCTGTAGTCTGTCAATTCTCACATAAGCTGGGAGTCTCAGGGGCCTCAGTGGTAGCCATTGAACCTGACCTCCACCCAGGCAGGGTCATTTTAAATTGTCTCTTGGCACATACACAAGAAAGGAAGGCAGAGGTAATTTGCTTTTGTCAGGATTCTGCTTTCTTGTCATCTGGGGAAAATGTAATCTAAATAAAGCGGCAGATACAGAAGGCACCAAAACTTTTTTTTTTTTTCAACTGAAGAGTAGATGTGCAAATGCTAGCAGTGGGAGCAGAAAGAGGAAATAAGATGAAGAGGGGGAAGAGGGGCTGTAGGAAGTAAAGGAAGATTATGGGAACAGGAAAAAAAAAACAGCATAGAAGGAAGAGGACCAGAGTCGGGAAAGGGGCAACACCACCAGTAGCAAAACAAGTTCAAAATGCCCTACAGGCCTATATCCATCTTCCCTGTGAATATCCTATGAAGCAGTGGTCCTTGCAGCATTTTACTCATTTCCCCATAGACTGTGGAACTAAAAAAACCACTTTATATCACAAGATGGAACTGTTTTCTGTAATCCCTCCTATAGCTTCAGTATGAGAGCAGGCCCTCTTAGAAGCAGCGTACCACTCCACCACTCCACAGGGTTTAAATTCCTGTCACCTTTATTGACATCCAGCATTCTCTATGGATACTGAACTTATCCTTCCTTATTTGCTCTCCCTCTCTACCTTTCATTTGTGCTCTACAGATGGAATTGAGATGTGCAGAGAAAAAGCTGGATTGAACAGTTAAGGACAGGCATGTTTCACTCTTCATTTCTGTCAGAGAAGGAAGGATGAGGAAATTCTTTCTGGAATGAATGGAGCAATTCATACCTTTCAGAGCTGTTGTTTCAACTTGCACATATGTCTGAAGTCATATTCATGCCCGTTTTGTACTCTCACTCATTTCAGTATATCTGACTTTGAAGAATGTATCATTTCACACCCTTCTGAAAAGTCTTCCGTTTAAAGGTCAGTTTCTTGTAAGTGCTGCATAATCCTCTTGGTTACTTGACTGTCTTAAAATCTGGCATGGTTACCACAGGTGGTGAGTAGAATTATTGATCCAAATTAGAGGTCACAAGTCAAGAATTCCCACTAGTCAAGAATTCTCAATTCATTCCTTTTTCTTAAAAAACCCCAGCATTCCTTAACATTGGCCAATTGTCCCAATGTTTCCTTTGTGCACACATACAGAAATAAAACTGTGACCAAAGAGTCTCAGTTGCTCAGTTTTTAGCAAACGAAAGCCACCAAGTGTCTCTTTGGCATTCAGAGTTCAGATGCTTTCAAAAATTTCAGTTCCACACATGAAGCAAATCAAATGCTCAAGACTTCAGGGAGCTATTGACCCTGTGAGTAGGTCTAAACACCTTCTATTGCTATACAAAGCCTGGCAAATCCTTTTTCTTAAGATGAGGGAGTGAAGAGTCCTTCTTTTTGCACTTACTGAATCCTCAGAAGTTAGAAATTAATTACAGGTAGTTAATTTTGAAAATTAAGAAAAAAAATTGAAAAGAAAAGGTGAAACACAGCTCCAAAACTGTTCAAAAAGGATAAGGGCAAGAAACAGGGTAGATAGGTCAATGGAAACCTGCTCTAGGCTCTGGTGGAGCCTTGGTTTATTAGGATTAGAGCAGCAAAAAAGGCTTGAAAAAAATATATGCTTATATCTACTGTGCAACAGCAGTGCTATATGTAAGCAACTGCAGAGTACTAAGTATCTGCCATACATGCTGCTTAAATACCAATGACTAGTGGAACAGAAAGGGTGTATACACTGAAAATGGCAGCAGGAGAGTTTGGGCAAAAATGGAGTGGCTCATCTTAACAAAACTACTGTACTTCACACAACTGTACTTCACTTGCTAGACTGAGAAAATTGGTGTCTAAGAATATGTCTTCTAAGCTGCTCCAGCTTATATCTCCACAAATTCATTTTAAAGCAGACATCAGTGCACATACAGTGAGTGAATGGAAAGGTCTGCAGGTGTTTTTGTCCAAGTAATGCACCTTAGGGTTACATTTTCCATGTGCTGGAAGCTGTAATACTATCAAGCAATCAGTGAGTAAATTAAGGTATTTTTCAGTGAAATTCTATCATTACTGTTTTGTCATTTCCCTTCATTTCTCAAGGGTTGACATTTTTCAGCACAGAGAAACTATTCATCTAATTCTCTAAGTAACTTCAAAAATAAACCACATACATTTTTACAAAAAACTCTGCATTAGTGAATTAAAGCAAATTTACTATGGAATATGTGTGGAAACACATTCAACTTCCATTACAATAACAAAGGTGTTTGTTATATCTGTGTTTTATAGCTGATTGCCAGATGAACTCACATATGACACAGCAGAATACTTTAGAAATGTCTGCTCCAAAAGTGTTTATATAGTTACATACTTGCATATAACATTCAGCCTAAATTCAGCCTAAATTACAATAATAAACAGAACACAAACTCTGATAAAATAAATACATAAAACAGTAATTAGAAGAGCAACAATGTAATTTGATTAACTAATTGCTACAGATAGAAAAACAAATTGTAATTCTGGCAATTCAAAGAACAACCGTTCTTTGAACTTTATCTTCTTGTTCAGATGTTGCCCATAGGGGAAAAAAAAGACAACTTCCAAAATTAACCAAAAGCAACAAGCTGTCAAGTACCTGATCTATGGATGGCAGAAGAGTCTTCTCACACAGTACTAGAGTACATCAGACAGTTCCATACTAAATGAAGTCCAAGTAATAAGTCAGCATGAACCAACTTTTAAACTAAAACTATGCATCAATAATGTAAAAGCTGGTCAAAAGGCCAGGTAAAAAGGTAAGTTATGGCCTTTCAGGGGCTCAAAATATATAGCAAGAGTGGCTTTGTCTGAACTATCACAATCCATTTGTTATAGGAAGGTAAAATAAGAGTTCCAAAAGTTAATCAGGGACAGTTGCATCATAATTATTCAAAAATGTGTGGATATGCTACTGAAACTCTATTCCTTGGATGGAATGAAAAGGGGAGACACCTGACTTAATGCTTCTAAACCAGAAGTATGCTTCATCCCCAGAAGTATGAGGTGCTGTCAAAGCTACCTTTGGGAAAGTTTACATAGATTCGATTTTTCTTTCATTACATAAATTTATCGTCCTCTCCATTAAACAGAAAAGCACTCCACAGGTCCTTCTCAAACAGAATGAGGAAAATAACTAAGCTATTTTAATCTATCAGATAAAAGGATTTTTTGAGTTATCTCTTTTAAAAAAATAATTAAGTATTTAAAAGGATAATTCCCAAACAGAAAACTAAACACATAGCCTTTTGATTTCAAAAGGAATGGCCCAGGGAGAATTTGTGGCACAGAGTACTACAATACAGAATCAGCAGTAAGGGAGAAGAGCAAGTGGATTCAGAAACACTCATTGAAAACTTTAAAATCCCACAGCAAAAGTAAATGGTGCTCCAAGCATTTTTTCCAGGTGCTACATTCATCCAGGAAAGCAGAAAGCACTGGTTTGATAAAATTCAAGTTAATGTTAAAAAGAAGTTAAAATGGTTTCTGAAAACTTAAATCTGTGGTCTGGCTTCTTTAGTTCACACTATAGTCTGTGTGCAAAAGGCAGACTATTTATCAGTAAGCTTTTGCAATACCTATTATAAAAACTAGACTATCTCAAAACAGTAAAACAAAATTTTCACATGCTGAGGGTTTCTTATACATTACTCTTTGCATTAACAGATTAAATGTAGATTCTTCCCTTTTAATTAACTTACCGGGTTGATAATATGTCAATAAGTTCTTTTCTGTTCTGGACTCTGAGTGTATTAGTTTTGTATCTGGAATCTTTACTAACTTCAGGCAAATTCAGGATCTAAGTAAAAATAAAGATAAGTAAGAAATGTGCTTGACAGATTATATATATATGTATGTATATATATATATATATATAACAAAATAATTAATGATTTTTTAAAAATCACCAATTTCCAATAATCAATACTTATCATCAGTCATCTAATACAAAGAAATTTAAAATTAATTATTACTCCTTTTTGTAAAAAGCCTCCCGGTTGATGTTACATAACAAGTAGAGAAAAAGAGAGAAATCAGAAGATCAAAATCTTAGCTAACAGATTTCAGGATTAGCCAGGATAAATTCTTACTGTAGAACACTAAAAAAGTAAGTTATTAACATGGGGATGGATAGATCTGTGGGATTATCCTGCACTAACTTATATGTCACAGAATAAGAAATATGTCTGTATGTCATATGCTAGACGGAGAAAAGATATGCCTAGGATTATTTCTTTCCATTTCAGTAATCTCTGTCAAAAAGATAAAAAAAAAGAAAAGAGAAGGCAAAAAAGTCTTTTTCTATTGAAACATCATTAGTCTTCTTTATTATTTTTTTTTTTTTTGGAAGAATTAATATAGAAAAGTGGTGGTATAGCCTCTGAGAAAGGAGAAATACATCTTCAATGCATAACTTCCACCTGTCACATTAGAACTTTAAACAACATGTGAAGACAATGTATATTATACTATAAATGGAATTTAAAATGGAATTAAATATGCAGAAGGAGTCTTAGAATTTTGTACAGGCACTCATTAGAAAAAGCAGCTGTGTGGAAAATCAATATAATTTACCTATTTGTGCCACAATGACTTTCTATAGAACATAAATAAACACAATTAAATGTGTGTTCTAGAAATACACCATTTACATCAGCTACAGAGAAACACAGCATAGAATCTTATAAAGAGACAGTCACATATTCTTCGTGTATTTTTACTCACTAGCTCACAATAAAGCTCATTTTTTCTTATTATGAGTCTTGTAATAATTCTAAACATGCTTCATTTTTATAGAGCTATTTCTAAGATGGCTTTAAAAATACAGAGTCACGAACCTGAAGTTCCTGTAGCCCATCATTCTATCTCTGCCTGTTGTCTGATGCTTAGGAAGAGTTTAAGAACAGGACCACTATGTATAACTTCCTTAATATTCATCCAAACTCCAGTCCTCTTTTTTTTAGGACATTTCTGAGCTGAATGTGTTTTCTACATATTTACCAATCATCAATGGATTTATGTTTTATTAACATGTTCACTCGCTCCTTGAATCCATATGCCTGTGTATTACCCCATGGAAGTGATAAGTAAGTTGGTGTCAATCTCTCTGATATTTGCTTCAAACATAATATTCTACTAATTCCTCTGACAGTGGTTTAGACCAAGGCCACAATCATTTAATGACTCTTGATTTTGCTGGAGTGAATAAGGATACAGCTTTCTTTACAGGTAAATAGCTGTTAATGACATAAAACCATTGGCAGAACAGATATTCTTTCAACAGATATTTATATATATTAAAAACAGATAGTCATTTTGACATAATTTTCACCTAGAGTAACAAACTAAGCATGGAAACAAGGTATCTGTAAGTTGTGCTAGAACAATGGTGATGTTACAAAACTTTTCTGCAGATTTTTTTCTGCAAGGTAACATAAAATATCAATCTAGAATCTTCCATCAATACTTAATTCACAGCATATTTGCTTTTCTTTCTGCATTTATATAATGTAGTTTATGGAAATCACAATATATCATAATTTAGCATTAGAAAATAGATAAATTTTTCTATCTAGCAGTTTATCAATACTATTGGTACACCTTAAAATTATTTCCTTTTTTAAATACTGCTCATTTGGAATTACAAATCACTGCTTTAGTGGAAAAAAACCTGTAAGGTTGTTCAAATTAAATGATAGTGAATACTTGTGTGAGCTTTAAAAACCAAGAAATTAATCAGAAAGCTATGGTTTCATTTGATGAGTTATATGCAAAATGATCATATGGAGTTGCTCATTCTGCTATTTTAATTAATGTTACTGATTTCAGCTTTAACTTAATGTCCATCTGGTGTTAAGCTGCATGTCTATATATGTTCTTCTCAATTTTTTTTTGTGACTAACAAATGCACACTTGAGAAGTTATTCATTAATGTACCATTCATCTTTCTGCATCATGTTACCAATGTTATTTTCTTTATTTCACTGTGAACATTTAGAATTAAAATGGTGCTCTCTGTTTGAGGCCTTGTTCAAGCTCTACATGCACACTCAGTGCTTACACTTGGTGTTTTGTGTCCTGCAACACTAGCAAATCTGTTTAAAATCTCCCTTGCTTAGTATTCCTAGTCAGACCAAATCAGCCACAGGTCAGGATGTGCTGTTGTTACACTAGACCACAATTAAATGCATTTCAGCCGGCAGTGTTACAAAGTTTTTCTGCAATTATCCAAGTCCTCAAAAAGCTACAGTTGTTGTCATTGATTTTGAAAATGTCACAGTGAATTATTCCAGATTTTTCTTTCTGATTGTCTGAAAAGATACAGTCCAAGCAGAACATTTGCAATTGTTTACCGCTTGAGGCAGCAGTTACATCTCTAGAGCATGTGTCTTCAGGGCAACAGCTTCCATACAGCCTATATTTTCAGCACCAGCCCAGCTCAGAAAGATTCTCTAATAGCAATCCCAGCATCTGAATTATTTGTCTCTGTATTTAATAAAGTTCACTAGGGTGTTGCAGACCTTCCTGTAATAAAGTTCTTTACCCTTATTGGCTTTCGCCACACAGTGTTTTAAGTTCCAAATCACCTTTGACTTAGCACAGAGTGTATCTCTAATGGGTATTCATTCCAGCATTCTACTGACTTCCTCATAATTTTATTTCTGGGCAATGTAATAGCCCAAATCCATATCTATAATATCCTGATAAGGGTAAAAACTGTTCTTTTTAGAAATAAAGATGACAACTGGTGTATAGAAAAATCTAACAATTACTCAAAACTTGAACTATTTTTTTTGCTTTATTAATCCCTTTGAAATGTAAGCAAACATCATTTTTCCATACTTTGTACCTCTTATTTTCAATTCTTGGAACACCAGAACACATTTATCAAGATTAAAAAAAAAAACAAAAACAAAACCAAAAGCAGCCTGCAGACCAGGGCTAATATTAATCTCACTTAATATTTATCCTATACATTCTGGGGTAACACAAACCATTGAAATCTTGCTTCATCTTCTGGGGTTCCATTCATTCTTTAATGATTACAGAGAGAATATGTAGCAACAAGGCACACCGTAATTCTCTCAGCCGCACCCTAAAGTCAGGTAAAGTGCATGGTCTAAAGATTTAGTGCCTGCTTGCTCACATCAAGATGTCAGAACCTACTGAGATGGATCTTCAGCTCTGTCTTACTAAAGGATAGCAGGATGACAAGTATTTGCTACATAATTCTTCACTTTAGATTATAAAGGACCAAGAAGACATTCACAGCTATGTCCTGGGACACTCTGGAAAGATTTCCTTTATGGAATAATAAGTCTGGTAAAACTGAATTGTGCCAGGAAGACATTTATTCAGCTATTAGCCTTCATTCATATTAAGATAACGATGACTGTAGTGGTCAGACACCTTTATGAAGAAAACCTACTGAGCAAATTTTGAAGAGGTTAAGAACCAATTCAAAGTGAAAGCAGAACCCCTCCACATAGCGAGGTGAGGATACATACCCCAAAGTGTATTAAAAGAGAATCAAAACAGCACTGTCCTTTTACTACCTATTCCAGTTATTAGTGGTGAACTTCCACAGGAATGTGAAATATCTGACATGAACAAATGGAGGAAAATAATGCTTAGTTTCCTGAGTGTCATTACTATATGTTAAATATCAAAGTTTCTAGAAAAATAAAAACACAACGGCCAAAAAAGCTAGAATTGTAATTTTTTAAAATGTTGTCTAATGCTATATGCAAAAATTATGTTGTTCCATTTTACATGTTACTGGGGTCTTTTATTTGGAATGTTGATATATTGCATTTAGAACAATTTTTTTTTTAAGATTGTTCTTCAACATCAAACTCTGCACCACTCCAAAATCTGCCGAGAGTCCTGTACCCTTTTCTTTCTAAGAAGTCCACAAGTTTCTCAGTGATCACAGATCAGCACATGCTAGGTGCTCTAAAGGACAATGTATTTAGGTAAATATTTAAGTAGATGTAGATGTAGATTCAATCAGACTTCAAAAGGATGGCAGTACCTACAAGTTTTATAAAGAACTGGTATGTTCTGAATTCAGGGCCAAAGCAGCTGCAGGGTTAGAATTTATACTCACCACTTATTTCCATACAGAAAAAAAAAAAAAAAAAAAAAAAAAAAAAAAAAAAAAAGAATCAGCATTTTAATTTTCCTAGTGACAATGGAAACTATTACACATTTATGTAATCTTGCCTAACACACCTTGCACACAGTGGCAAACTGATGATCATTTCCAGCTCCCACCACAATGTAGCCATCCTTGGTCTTAAATGCCTGGAAGAACAAAGACAGGTGATAAGCTGTAACTAAACTAGAAAATATTAGCACACCTTTGAAGTGAAACTTTGTAAATAAAGTTCAAATTACTTCCTTAAACATTTCCATTCAGACCAAATCTCTTGTTCTATAAAAGTGGCTCAAAACCATAAATTCACAAAGATGGATGAGGCCCTTTTTGAATTTTTTTCTAGAGCTGAGACGTTATCTTGGTTAATAGTATATTTGCTAAACTATTCATCATGAGCCACCCTTAATGTGTCCCATGTTCACAGGACTAAGGATTACCATGATGTTTACTTGCCAGGAAGTATTTATTCACCTTCACTCTTAGCCTGACTCAGAGCAGACAGCTGCACTGAAATGTCGCAGATCCTGACCAAACACACCAAAAAAATAATTGCCAAATAGTAAATACAAATTAGGAACTCCCATGGGAATGAAAGGGATAGACTGCATCTTTACAGCTCTTCAGCTGGAGATAAGGCTATCTCCTTAGTCAGTAGTCTCACAATAGATCTCATGGAGGAAATGGGACTTCTTTTCCAAAAAAAAAAAATAAATAATCAGCATCTCAATTTTCTTAGTGAGAATGAAAACTATTACACATTTCTGTACTCTTGCCTAATACACCTTTAAAGATGTAATTTTTACTCTTGACTTAATTACAGTGGTCTTAGTGGCACGTTTCATGGTAAATGCAACATTGAACTGGGTAGGACATAACAGTTTTCATTTCAGGCTAAACCATGTCACTTAGATTTTCACTGGAAAAAAGAAAGTCTGTAATTGGCAACATCCTCAATTTTTTCCATTGTGTTAGGGCATGTTCTAGAACTGGATAATGCAATTCTTCTTTTCTCCACACCTCTCTCTTATACAAAAGTATATAACTGCAGTTTCAGTCGTATATAGTACTAGCCCAATTTTTGGAAACATTTAGGAAAAATTCCTTCATCATTAATTTGACTTCAATGGAAGATGCCAGCATAGGCTGGTGCACTAATGGTGGCAAGATCTTGCAATTTGCTCTTGCAGAGAGCAAAACACACATCTTCCATTCCTAGAAAACTGGTTTTTTTGTTGTGTTTTGGTTTGGTTTGGGTTTTTTTTTTTGCGCTATCATGTCCTCATTTAAATGTATGAATTTTCACAAATGTAAGTACTGGAATGGAAACACTATAGAATTCTTCTCATGCCACTGTGGCTTATTCTTCGTCACAGAGAGCAGTACGATATGTTAACTTATGGTCTTTCATATACGTACAAATACATTCACCAAGACTCTTTTACCATGTGGTATAGTCAAAGTTTTAAAATTGTATGTGGACAACCATGTCCTCTGAAGTGTAGATAACTGCACATCATAGTTAAAATATCACCTGTTTGTTCGTTCTTTCTATGTTTCATTTCATGGTAAATAGTATTGTCCAGTCATAGGTTTAGCAATTAATTTTTCACACATTTAATTAAGTAGTTTAGTCTAAGATAGCAACCAAAGATAAAACTCAGCAAACAATTAGCCCAAGCATTTAAGAAAGTACCACTGACTTGGCCCCAGTATAGTAGAAGTTCAGTAACATACATAATATAAAGGTGCTACATACTCATGCTGAGAAAAGTAGTAAGCAAAGAAAAAGATTGGAGAAAAGAATACAAAAAAAGATTTGTATGTGAACACATAAACATTTCTTAGCTAAATCTGTTCATAAAGACCTCAGTCTAAAAAAATAATGGCAGACCCTGATAAAAGAATATAAGAGACTCTTCCTCCCAGTAAATGGCCTTTAGTGGGAATAATAATGAATTAAAACTCTCTGTATAAACTTACTACCTTTAGTTACAGGCAAAATCTGTTTTCTGAACACCCTGCCCAAATCTTGATTTGCCTTTGCTGGTGTTCAGAGTACTAAAACCAGCGTCATGCAAGTCACACAAATTATTAGTCAAACTGTATGTATCAGTGTGCATATATAACACAGAATAATTTTTATTGGTGCAACCACCTACTACTTCCTATAAACACAGATCACAATTCATTTGTACATTCGTTTAAACTTCTAGTCTAGATGCCTGCTACAGCTTACAAATTATATGTCATATGTACATATCCCCTCCTCAGCACTCCAAAATGTATTTATATTGGTAGTATGGACAAATCTTAGAGAGTTTATTATTTATCAGCAACTTCTGTTGAGACACACATCTCTGTTAGAAGGCTGCAATCACACAATAGCTGCATACCACTGTGAAGCATGCATCTGTACTCACTGGCTGCTCATGCAGCAGGGGAAGTCACTATAAATGTAAGGGCCTGGTTATTAGCATGTGTGCTTCAGTTGCTTTGTGGAATGTGTGGGAAAACTGATTATTCTTAATTGCACTGTATGTCAAAAAAAGCTAAAATAACAACCATGTCATCCTTACACAACAAAAATGGTATCATAATAAATGCAGCAGTGTCTTTTTCCATGAAGCTTAACTCAAATGTCTTCAGCTGCTATTTTAAAAACTTCCCATTACAAAACAGCTGATTATTTGCCAGTCATTGCTGCTGATAAAGCAGAGCCTTCCAAATGTTACTAGCACAATATTGATGCCAGCATTTAAGAGTGACAATGGTTTTATTCATCACCCGTAAATGTACACACACTACAGGTTACCACAGGTTACCATCTGGTCACAGAAAGCTTCACAATCTTATTATACAAAAGAGAGTAAGGGCAAAGTGCAGACAGATTTTAATGAGATTTTGTTTTGATAAACTGCTGTCCATCACATCTAATCATTTCACATTAGCGTAATAAAAGGCTCTACACATACAAGGCAAAAGTCCTTCTTCCCTTCCCTTTTTTTCTGAAGAATGAGGTCTTCTGATAAGATTCTTCAGAGTACAATCATGTGTTAACCCGCTACTCCTATGAGGGATCCTGAGGAATAGCACATCATTTTTTGTGAAGACAAGAAACAAATACCAAGCAAAAAATTATTTGACATCTTATTCATGGAAAAGGCAGAGAAAAATTGTGAGCACTCAAAGGTGTAGCTTTTTCAATGTGGTGCAAAAACTTGAGGGTTTCCAAGAAAATAATCTGTAAATTTCCATTGAATGATATCTAGAACATTGCATGTTCAAAGGCAGATCTCAAGGTCAAGTGTGTATGCATCACCACCTCACACTGTCAAATGAATGTTCCAGGACCTTATTAAGACTCAGCACTTTTCCAGCTTTGATCCTAGAACACAGTATATTCCTGAGATACTTTGCATATTAAAATACTTTAATTTCCCTAAACACGTGGCATATAAACTCTATCCACCTTCAGGAATGTTTATGTGGTTTACAAGTATTCTCCAAATCCAAATATGTTACATAGACTACACAATAAAGATGCAGGCCAAATTTAACCTAAGTTATTTCCAGAGCAAGCAGAGTTGCTGAGATAGTGAGGCTAAAAGAGCCTTTTTTCCACTGCTCTAAGTAAATAGCTTTTCAAAGTTTGCCAGCTTTGAAGGCATTAATGAAAGACCATTAATCTTTGTATTTATTTCCTGCTTTATGAATTTAAACCTATATGTTCTATTGCAATCATCAATCATACACAAACATCTCTGCATGTGTTTCAATTTGCATGTTGATTTCACAAAAAAAAAAAATATAAGGGACCAGTAAATTCCAATAAAATTAAACTAAATTAGTCATAAATAAATAAATAGAATAAAATTCCAATAAAATTAAGAGAAGTCCAAGTCAGTTTTTGAGTCCAAAACATGGCAATCGAAACAGCTAGAACATTTGCAGTTGTGTATGGCAATGGTCCCCTTCATCAGGTATTTATATACATTCATAAGATCTCCTTGAGCCTCCTCTCTGACCCTTTAGGCTACACAGTCCCAGATCTCTCCTCATATGAAAGATGCTTCTAGCCCTTAATTATTTTCTTGGCCCTTCACTGGACCTGATTCAGTATGAGCATATCCTTGTCCCCAAAACCCCAGACTTAGACCCTGTTGTAGACCCATAACTGGATTGAGTGGTTATTCATCCTCAGTGGTGCTGACCAGAAGGAAGGATCACCTCTTTTAACCTGTTGACAATTTTCCCACTAATACAGATGAGAATTGTCTCTTTGGCACAGAGACATATCACTGGCTCGTGTTCCATTTTCTGTTCACCAAGATCTCCATGTCTTTTTGTGCAAAGCTGCTTTCCAGCAGGTCAGTCTCAGTCTGTACTGATGCATGGGATTATTTCCTATCATGTACAGGACTTCATACTATGTTTAATTCGGTTAGGTTCTTGATGGCCTGACTCTCCAGCCTGTCACAGTCCCTCTGAATGGCAGCACAATCACCTTCTTGGTAGTATATATCTTGGTGGATCATGTATCATCCACTTGTCTCCATTTTGCACATTCCACAGATTTTGGAGACCAGAGACTAACAGAACAAAGCATTGGGTTTTTCAAATTGTAGAATTATTCCCTATTTAGGAGAGGTTAAAAGGAGATACTAATTATCTTAAAAATTATTTTTGTTGCCAGTTGGCCTGTTTACTGATAATGGCTGCCAATGGTTGAAATATTTGAAAGTTTTCAGACCTCCCCTTGGCAGAACATTTGTACTACATCAGATATGGTAAAAATTATGTATTACTATATTTATGAATTTTCTTATCTCATGTTCCAGTGTGAATAAAAATTAGGATCTGTAGAGATACTTAAAATCCCTTTTCATTCAGAATACCTGATGTTAAATACCCTTGGATTTGAAGTATCTTTCAAGACAGTGCTGCCTTTTGAATCATAAACTTGAATAGCAGCATCCCTAAAAGCATCCAGCTATGAATCATGAGGGGAAAAATGAAGGTTATGGAATAGTTAGAATGTAGTGGTGACTTCTGGAACAGGACTTAAAGGAACTTAAAGTTTTGCTTGCATTCCAACTGCTCTGGGTCTTACAGAGCAAGAGGCTGATTGCTGCAACTGGCATCATCA